GTTGTGCCACCATTCCTGAGTTGAAGGACCGCATCAGAACTGCAGTCGGCAGTGTCCCAAAGACATCGAGTTATGGCAAGCTTCCAACGCTTCCTAGATGAATGTGTTGTGCAGAGGGGGCAATGGTACTATTCCGTTTTGAGGGCCGTAAAAAAATTGCAGCGAAAATACATGCGCAAAAGCGCCAAATCTAACAAACGCGCCCTTTACACGCGCCAAATCTAGGTACGCGCTTTCAGATTGCGTAAGTTTATATAGTTTCAATGGACTTTAAGACGTCATTGAAATTAAGTTTTTTTAAATCCTTTTTTTATTTTTTTTTTTGATATCCTATGGATTTAACATTTGGAAATTCCCATGACGAAAGTCGGCAATAGAATTTGGGTAAAGTGCTAATCACCACTGCTTGACGCGTTTTAAGAATTGTACATGCTCGTATCCATGTGCACATCGACCTATTTTCACTTAAAAAATCCTAGAATTCACAAAAAATGGCACTGCGCCACACCCTTGATTTTATCTATGTACGCATCGACCTATTTTCACTTAAACAGTAAAAGAAAATTGACAAAAATCAATGGTTTTTTACCGTTGTAAAAGCGGCAAAAAAGTGGACGATTCTACACGTTAGAGAGAAGTCAAAGAAAAGCATCATTAACACAAATTATGTTTGAACAACCAACGAGATGAAACTATCTTTAGCGATAACCTCGGTATCGAAATAGCGATAGAGGCATTTTAGTTATTTTTATATAAATTATAATAATGATTGAAATAGTTATGACTCTTATGCTTCCATTCAGTCATGTTGAGGTTTATATAATTATAATTAAAAAATATTATATGAAATGAACCTTTCGTCTAAATTAAAACATCAATCTTAAATAGTATTTCTATTATACTTCCTTTCTTGCCCGCATTATTAGGTTTGGCAGCAATTTTTTGGCAGGATTGGCCATCAACAATAGTTTGGCGTTTTTACGGTCCTCGAAACCGAATAGTACCTCAAAAGTAATCCACGCAATGGGCAATGACTTACGCATTATTAAATTACCATAATTACATAAGGGGGGTGACTAAGTGCAAATGAAAAGAATTAGTTTCTTTTATATGGAAATGTTTTATGTGGGTTCCATACCGCATCAGACTGAAAAATGTATGACTATGAATCGTATTTCTCGCTTATTAGAGAAGGATAAGAGCGGTATCGTTCTGTCTGCTGTTAGATACACTACTCTCAGTGTAACTTAACTGGTCCTTACTTACAAGAAATCAATCAATGCCATACACCTCTGCAGTGAAATTGCCTTAAATGACATTGGCCATTAATAAGAACAAATGATCTCATTTGTCTATATTACGCCTCAGCAAGCATACGAGTTTAACTTTTCTTTGATATTGTTACGAAATGTACAGGCGCGGTGAGATGGCATCCCCGCAAAGCAGTTTTAGGGTTGCCTTAAAATGACAAGGGAATGTAGGGTTGCCACATTTGGCGAGAAATCGCCCAATTGGCGACAACTTTCTGGAACGAATTCTTACCGGTTTAGCCCAGAATGTTCTCGAACACCAGCCAAAAGCTACATAAACCCTGCTGGTCCGCAATCAGTTAGTGAGTGTGTCTCTCATCAAGAGTGAGTGTGTCTCGTCTAGCGAGTCAATCCCTGCGGAGTCGATCGAGTTGACAGCCAGGCAGCGCGAGTCGAGTGTGTCGTCGAGTTCACCGAAGGAGTCTCTTAGTGTATCGTGGTTAATACATCGTCGATAGAGCGTATTCAGCTCCGGGAACGACTGAACCGAAGAGTCGGGAGCCGTGCTCTGTGTGTCGTCGAGTGCATCGCGAATTGTAGTGAGGAGAGTCTCGAGAGTACGAGGAGTTCCGAGAACGTTCGAGCAGAGTCGGGAGCTGTTCTCTGGTGCTTTGCAATGAAGCTGTCTCCACCGTGATAGCCTGATAACCGGAAGGCTGTGTCGCTGATCGTGTCAGCGTGTTTATAGTAGTTCATCGACAACTGTAAAAGTGTTTTGGAGCCGTCCTGACAATATTGATAAATAAAGTGTGTTTCGTTACTTCATCAAGTGTCATCATTATTCACGCCAAAACCACAAATAGATAATAAAGCAAATTCCAAATTTGGGCTTCCAGATGTCCATATTATTCAGGTGGACACTTACGTTATTCAAAATTGGATGACTCTAGGTACCGTTCTTTTATCACAGCGCCAGAAACATATTGTTACGAAATGCACAGGCGCGGGGAGATAGCTTCCCCGCAAAGCAGCTTTAGGGTTGCCATAAAATGGCAAGGGAAGGTCGGGTTGCCACATTTGGTGAGAAATCGCCCATTTTGCGACGAAATTGGCGGTAAACCATGGACAGTTGGAGAACTTTCTGGAACGAATTCTTAGCCCAGAATGTCCTCGAACACAAGCCAAAAGCTATATAAACCGTGCTGGTCCGCAATCAGTTAGTGAATGTGTCTCGTCTAGCGAGTCAATCCCTGCGGAGTCGATCGAGTTGACAGCCGGGCAACAAGGGCCGAGTGGGTCGTCGATTGCACCGAAGGAGTTTCTTAGTGTATCGCGGTTAGTGCATCGCCGAGATCCGGGAACGACTGAACCGAAAAGTCGGGAGCTGTGCTCTGTGTGTCTTCGAGTGCATCGCGAGTTGTAGCGTGGAGAGTCTGGAGAGTACGTGGAGTTCCGAGAACGACCAAGCAGAGTCGGGAACTGTACTCCGGAAAGCAGAGTCGGGTGCTTTGCAGGAAGCTGTCTCCACCGTGATAGCCTGATAACCTGAAGGCTGTGTCGCTGATCGTGTCAGCGTGTTTATAGTAGTTCATCGACGACTGTGAAACCGCGTGTTTTGAGCTGTCTAATTGCGTATTGTCTAAATAAAGTGTGTTTCGTTACTTCATCAAGTGTCGTCGTTATTCACACCAAATCTACAAACCCCGTACGAACGTGAAGGAAGAAAATAACGCAACAACTGGTGTCAGAAGAAAAGAAAAACGTAACAATATATATAAAATATAACAAGCAGTCCTTGTGCAGATTGTATTTCAGACTGAAGTTATAGCTGTTAATTTTAATTTAGTAAATGCTTCGAATTTTTTAAAAGTAGAAACTTGGTGCAGACAATTTCGCAGTTGGACGACAAAGCTTGTGATTTTTCACTATTTACTTTCATAAGATTATACCCTGAAATCCTTTTAATAAATAAAAAAATAAGAACTTTGGAAATAAACTATAATAACTTTTAAATAAACTATAATAACTTTTAAATAAACTATAATAACTTTTAAATAAACTATAATAACTTTTAAATAAATAAGAAGAAACATTGTAGTAACATTATCGCATTTAATAACCGGTTTGCTTTGCTTACGTGCTTGGCCTTTAAACAAAAAATATATAGGCAAGTTATTATTTCTTTCAGCACTAATAATAATTCAGACCTTTATTATCATTCGAAAACATAACGCTGTTAAGAAGAAAAAGAACAAAGAATTTACAGATTTTGCCCTAGTATTTTAAAATCCATTTAAATACCAACGTAGCATTTTCTAAAGTTAAAAAATCCTATGGAATTTTAAGAATTTGAAACAACAAAAATAAACTATGTTTAGTTCATTTAAACGAAAATGAAAAAATTACTCAAGACGGTTCGTAAATGCTCAAGTCATTCAACATCTTTAAACGCTAAAATTAAAAACTTAAAGGCCATTTTAATTTTCAACCTTAGCCTGCATGAAAACGTCGTCTTGAGAAGGAAAAAATGCTTTTTTATTCTTTCAAACCCAGCTCCAATCATAATTGCGTTTTTGACACTTTTTAATTTACTATTTCAACAAACTGAGCTTTATTTACCAAATAATATATTTATACCACTTCACAAAATAAATAAGCTGAAATGAATGCCAAATTTAATATTTCATTTTTGTCAAAATTATAAAAATTCTTGTTTGCTTAGCAATTACATGCATACTCCCTGCGAATATTTATCCGTTTAAAAAAATAGCAGAATTTCTTCACAGTTTTGTACACTGCATGTTTGCAGTTTATGAAATTAGAAAGAGCAAGCAATCAAATTACAATTTCGCTAACTGAAATTATTACATGAAATAACATCGAAAAAGTAATTTTTATTCAGTGAAATATATTATGTCAACAGTAAAGCTCACGAATTTAAAATAAAATAAAATCTTTTCGTCGCATAGTTTTTCATGTCCTCGGATAACGGGCAAAAAATATAAAAATTAAATTCTTCTTAATAAGTATTTGCAAATAAAAATATACTTTTTTTTTCAGACTACGCTTTAAATACTTGGTAGTGTTAGCGCTTATTAATACTTTTTAGAAGATGAACAAAACGTATTTATGTACTCACTTAAACAAATGATATGCAATTTCATAAAACGATACATTTTTTATAGCTGGTTCAGATATTAAAATTGTATATTACTTGAGTTTTTACAATTGTTAACACAGAAAAATACTCAGTATTCGAAAACGCTGCAAAATATCAAAATGTTTAATTTAGTTGTTCTTCGTTTCGAAGTTGTGGATGGCAACGATCTAGAAAGCAATTTAAAATAGAACCCGAACTTGACTCATTAAACTCATTATGCCTAACTTAGTGTTTTTAATATTGTTAGGGTAGCATATTATTTTATTGTTGCAAGGATTTAAATTAAAATCTTTAAAAGTTTCCGTTCTCACAACTGTAAAAGATATTTTTCAAATTTACAATTTGTATTACCTTCCAATATATATATGAAGTCTATAAAATTTAATTAAGTACATTAAGTATTACAAAGTTTTAATGTGTTGGCAACTACTTCGGTAAAAGAAAAAGAAAAAAAAAAAAAGAGAAGAAAACAGTTATTGATTCAAGCGTCTTGGCAACAGAAACAAACCAAACGATAACCTTAGAACTAACATTTTTATTTAGAACATTAACTTGAACTCGATTTTAGGGAAGTTCTGAATCAGCTGTAATCGAATTTTGTTTTTTAAATAATTATCCTTTTAAACTAAAAAGACAAATAATATTATGTCAATATAAAAACTAAGTAAAGCTAAGTCATGTCTGTGATCATTCCTACTTTGTAAATGATTCACAAAAGAAGACCTTAGTTCTTTTCTAACAGATTTTTGTAATATAATCCAGCATGAAGAAGAACATCAAAGGGGTAAGTCTTGAAAATTACTGAGCCCTTATATTAATAGATTTAACAAAAATTGGAGTATATAATATTTTATTTAAAGAACAGGAAATAATTTGCAACCTTATGATATAATTGCCGCAATAAATGTATATTATTTACAATACACATTGAAACTTTATGATTTTAAATAAATTTTGGTATTATCTTAATTCAGTATAACTACAAATCATTAAAAAAAAGTGTCTTATTTTAAATTATAAGTTAACAACATAATTCACATCTATTTTTTTCTTGACTGATTATTATTTCACTACTCAAATTTAAACTAGTATTTAAATTTAACAAACAAAGTGTGCCAGCTGTTTGTTAGCCACTACTTATCCCTTAACCACACTTAAAACGATGTGTTTACTTCCTTGTACGAAGTAAAAAGGAAGTATTGTAATCGAGAAAGGTTTCAAGCAGCACATTTCAACGAAAATATCCATTTTGACCGCTATCGAATGCAATTTAACGAAGTTTTTGCGCGATATCTGTACTAAGGACAGCATAAAAGACTCTTTTCCGCCAAAAAATTATGAAACTGCTTTAAAATGTATTCTGAAGAGAATTTTTCGTGGCGTCTGTACGAACGTATGTCGGCTCCGTAATCTGTTTCTTTACTCTTATATGTTTGTAAATTGTACATTTTTTTGCTTTAAAAATGATTGAATTATGCTGTTCTTATATTCCGGTTAAGGGTTTTATGCCTTTAATAAATCTGTATGCAATAATTTTAGAATTATCAGCAATTTTAAAGTTGTTTAAGGGCAGCTAAGCCTAATAATTTTTTGGATGGCGGCCATTACTTGTTTACATTTGAAACAGCAGACTAGTGGATTTGTTGCCAATCTAGAGAAACTTAGCTCCGCAACAACAAAGATAACGCCTTCATTTATTATTACGAATTAAATCATGCTTAGTTCTTTCTGGAATTTTTTCGAGGAAATAAGCGTTTAAGATTTACTTCATAATTTTTAATACCTATATTTTGAGTTTTTATGTATTTTTGCCTTATCGCGAAATTAGAAGTGAATTAATTGAATGAGAAATACTGAATCGTCTGTGAAAAACTGTTCCTTTTTTGTTTTGTTTGCTTAATTTCTTTTATACATCGTTCTAGCTTTATTATAGTATTTGAATAGAACATGTAGCAACGATTAGATAATTTTTTAAATGATATAAATTTTGTGCATTCTGAATTATAATATGAACGAAATATAATACTGTTAAGTGAATCTAGCGCCAGAGTTTCGCTATGATAAACAAATAGAGTGAATTTTAAAGAAAACATTTATTCTATTGTGGTTTATGCGCTGTCGGTGAAGTAGATTTAATTCAATCAAATAAGTTTAAATGAAATGTAAGAAAAAATGCGTATAATTTAATATTCCGTACAAGAAGTCATGTGGTGTATACATCATATTTTTTAAATATATTAAAGTTGATCAATTAATCAATAAAGAATTTATCAAACCTTTAAACATAATGTAATGGTAAAATTTAAGAAATGCATATTAAAGAAATATTTTAAGCACTAAAAACACAATTAAACACATGAAAAGATTTAAAAGCCTGCATATAAAAAAGTAACTGAATGTACATAATTATTTTATGAAACCTCAATTTAGGTTAATTAAAAAAAAGACTTGCGGGATATTGTTTTGTAAATTGAGAATTTAGAAACATAAAAAGAGTAATTGAGAATTTAGAAACATAATAAGTGATTTTATATATTATATTTTGTTGAAGATTAGAATAAAAAACTTATCTAAGTACTAAGCATCTCAGTGAAACCGTACGAATTTAGTAAACGAATTACTCAGAATGCTTGAGTAGTAACACTGGATTAATAATTCCGGAACTCATTTAATTTAAGAACTTTGAAAATTAAGACACCACATTAATTAGAGTAGGATTTTAATATATTCGGAATGGTAAAGCATTAAGAATTCAGAACTGGCCAGCTGCGCAACTTTATGAACTTTTAAATAATAAGTTAAGCGAATTACAACGGTGGATGGCAAATAAGCAAGACATTAATTTCTTTCAAAGTACGTAGAAAATTAAACATGGAAAATTAAATGTTTTAAAGTTAGTTCAACTACGCCGTTTACAGGAATGCAAAATCGTAAGAAACTCGGAATAGGAACACAATTCTTCTGGAGATAAAAATTCTGCAGCCTAAATATGCGTAAGTAAACGGTATTAGATTTCACTTTTGTTATTTAAACTACCAACAAAGTGTCTCTGAAGTTTAGATATCTTTTTTACGTAGCAGCTAGAGGTTAAAATGTCTTGTTCTAAAGTATATGTGATAGAGTATCGAAATTAAAAGGGGTATCAGAAACCCCTATACCGACAATGTTAAATTGGCCATTTTCGATGTACCTTTTCTGAAAATCTCCTGTAGATAAAAGCTTGAAATTTTTTCTGTAATTAAAGTATACCTATCTGATTATACGGAAATGAGCTTTTGAAACATTTTGAATTTTAGAGTAAATTACAGGATATTTCGTTAGGCATACTAAAATTTAACACTTTTCTCACACAAAAAAATTTAAAAAAAAAAATTTTTTCCAAGTTCATTACAAAATGCTCATTTCAGTAAATATTAGAGAACCTAATAAATAAGCCATAAAAAGTTTATATACCTGTGAGCAGTAGTTCCTGAGAAAAGGTACATCGAGTATAAAAAAATCACGTTTGGAGAAAAATGCGTTTTTATGTAAAAATCCTCATTGATCAAAGCAGTCGATGACAAATTAAAACTAGATTTTTTTACAGTTCTAATTTTCACAGAGATTAAAGAATGATATTTTTAGAAAGATAAAAGTGTAGAGAATTTGAAAATGCCAAAATCCGAAATCACAATTTTTTGAAGATTTGGGGTCCAACTCCCTTAAAAAGGATTGTTCTGTGAAGATGCTCTCGTTAGTCCTTTTGTCAGATATGTAAAACAAATATTTTTTGTCAACGACATATTTTATTTGAAAGGTACTGGGTAAAAAAGTATTTGCACACCTACATTTTTGTTTGCAATTCATAAAAAGAAGCATTAAGAAATAAAAAAATTGGTATTGCCAAATCAGAATAAGTTTAATCATCCAAAACAAACAGAAAAATTACAATAATATAAATAACAATGCTTTTTTGTAACAAAATTAAAATATCTCATATCAAAAAAGTATTTGCACACCTGCATGAATACAAAAGAAATAAAATATATAAGCAAATTTCAAATAACTAATATTTAGTATGCATTCCTTTAGCATCTATTACTGCTTGTAATCTTGCTGGCATTGATTTAATTAAATTTTCTGTAACAGTAGGGTCAGTATTCGACCACTCTTCAATAAGGGCTTGTTTAAGGGCAGATTTGCTTGAAATCTTCCTTTTTCTTATTTTTAAATCCAAAGAATTCCACAAATTTTCCAAAGGATTTAAGTCTGGTGATTGTGGTGGAGTGGCAAGTTTTCTGGGTACATTATAAAGCAACCACATACGTGTTATACCGGCAGTGTGCTTGGGATCATTGTCTTGCTGAAAATAGTACGAATTACTGATACCAATTTTATTGCACTTTGTGGCAAAGTTATCTCGCAACACATCAATATAGGTTCGAGCTGTCATATTTCCATCAATGAAACACAAATTACCAACTTCTTTGCTAGCCATGCACCCCCAAATCATAACAGAACCTCCTCCATGTTTAACTGTAGGTAACACATTTTTGGGTATGAAATGCGGTACAAGGTATTCTCCAAACTAATTTCCTGCCCTCTGATTTAAAGATATTGAACTTACTCTCGTCGGAGAATATGACATTTTTCCAAAAATCAATTGGCTTATTGATATATTCCTTAGCGAATTCAAGTCTCTTCAGTCTATTTCGTTCAGTTATGAGTTTTTTTTTTCCTTGGTGATCTCCCATAAATGTGTGCATCGTGCAGGACATTTCGAACACTTTGGGCACAGATTTGAACTCCAGATGTTGAAGCGACATCATTGGCTAAAGTAATTGCACTAACAAATGGATTTTTGATGCTTCTCTTATGAATTTTTCGCTTCATTCGCAGTGGAAGTTTCTTTGGGAGTCCAGAGCGCAAGTTATTTGATGTAGATCCTCTTTCTTTATGACGTTTTATAACATACCGAACAGTAGAGAAGCAAACATTTACTTTTTTTTACCTATTTCTCGATAACTTAGGCCATTTTCACGTAGAGAAACAATTTTTTCTCGCAACGAAATCGGCAATTCAGATTTCTTAGGTGCCATTACAATTTGAATCGACAATCAACTGATAACGTTTCGACAACACCTCCTTTTATAGTCGTCTTACGTATGTTATTTACTGCGGGATGACTGTCAAATAATAGCATAAAAATGCAAATTTGCTAAAGTTGAGTTGAGTGTGCAAATACTTTTTTGACATAAGCTATTTTAATATTGTTGCAAAAAATGTTTTTTTATTAATATTATTGTATTTTTTGTAATTAATTTAAATGAATAAGCTTATTCTGTTTTTTAAATGCCAATTTTTGTATTTCTTAATGCATTTTCTTATAAATTGTGAACAAAAATGTATGTGTGCAAATATTTTTTGTACCCACTGTAAAATTAAAATGGCAACTTAAAACCATTTGAATTTTCTTCAGTTCTTTACTTCGTAATTTACGATGAAGTACTGCATTCCCCTGTGAATGCTTTTACGTGTAAATAGTAAAAACATTTAGCAACTGGAAGATACACTGGTGAAATTTCTGCAACGATGCATTTGATTTTTATTATTTCTAACACCGAAAATTTTAATAGCTTGAACAAATTTTATTTCTGAAACTGAATATTGTAGCAAGTCTACATATACAGAACAGCTTTGATTTTCCAAATTGGATGGGACCAAGATGAATTAGGACAAGCTACACTCGTGCTTAAAAAGTAAGCAACAAACGCTAAGAGAAAAATTACGAATGTTAAAAGGGGA